AAATAAATCGATCGGCGAATAATAATAATAATACGCAATGGAAATTTCTCCTTCACTTTTATAGAAATAACCCGTTAGACGATAATAATAATAATATTGATAAGTGATAATAAAATTATTTAAGATATATTATTATTATTATGTATTATGTATCATTTCCGAAAAATTATTATTACACTCATTCATTCATTTTGTTAACTTCTATACAACTAACGGCGTTTAATAATAATAACGCGCCCATTTTATTTCAAACAACAATAATAATAATAATGATAATAATAATGATAATAATAATAATAATAATAATAATAATAATAATAATAATAATAATAATAATAATAAAGTAAAAAATTAAAAAAATAAAATCAAATCGTTGATTTTTAATTTATGAATTCGTTATAAAAAATTAAAATTACTTATTCGTTTGTTTTAAGTACGAAAATTTAAATAAAAAAAAACAAAAGAAATCGTTATTCGAAATAAATAAAATTTTCCTTTTTTTTTTTTTCCTATACATTTTTTTCATAATGTATAAAATAATAATAATAATAATAATAAGTATAAAATCATTTTTACGCACTCACGCACGCACAACAATAGTAAACATAACGTGTATGTTTTGTAAACATATATTTCATGACGCAATAGATGATAGAAGAAGAAAAAAAAAAAAAAATTATAACAAATGAAATTTTGTTTTTTCTCTTTTCTTTTCTTTTTTTGTTTTTTTTTTTTTTTTTGTTGGCTGCTTTGTAAAAACTTTTTTGTTGTTTTTTCATTAGGCGGGCAACGTGACGTTCGTTTCCGTTATCGTCGTCGTCGTCGTGGATTTTATAACGACCGAACTACTTTTGACTTCCTCTTGCTCCGAATTGTCTTCGCTCGTATGATTAATGTTCCTGTTGGAAAACAAAAACATTTTAAATGTGTGAAATTTTTTTTTGGGGGAGGGAAGTAGGGAGTAGGGGGCAGGAGGAGGTGGGAGTGAACTCACGTAATGTGTTCTTTAACGGAATCGACCGTTATGTCGCCGATGCTAAAATCCAATTTGTTTTCGTCCACACCATTTTCGACGGGTTTTAATTTTCCCAAAAGAGATCCGTTCGCCAAAGGCACGTCATCGTCGACATTTTTTTCTCCTTTCGTTTCGCCGCCATCGAATCCGTTTTTCATTTCTTTATCGTTATCCTCATCATCATTATCCTTTCCTTCTCCTTCGCCGTCTTCTTCTTCTTTTACATCTTTTACATCTTCTTCGTTTTCTGACGTTTCGTCTTCGGCGACTTCGTCCGATTCTATTTAAAAAAAAAAAATCCATCATTTTTTTTCGATTCCTATCGATTAATAATAATGATTTTTATATAAAAAATTAATTTCCGACCGACCTTCTTTCTCTCTTACGGATTCAGGCAAATCTAACTTGCATGCCAATGGCGTCACTTTTGATGTGCTTAATGATATTCTTTGATATTCGCTCGACGAATGAAGATAAAATGCTTCGCCATGGGAAGTAAACGTTAGACTGTATATGCCGCTGCGCAAAAAAAAATTTTTTTTAATTAAAAAACCTGCGATGATCTTTTTTTGAAAAAAAGAAGAAATTTTTTTTCAACTCACTGGACATCTTCGGGTGGAACAACTGCGGCATTCAATTGTCTTCTGAATTCAGGCACGTTTAAAACGAGGCAGTCTCCTAAATTTGTTAAACATACCAAACAAGTTTCCGAAGTGCGTTTATCCCCGGTCGAAAATTTTGCAAAATTTGTTTTTCTAACTCGGCAACCTTCGTGTGCAGTCAATTTTAATTTTCCCATGGGTTTCAATCCCGGCAATGTGAATACCTGTCGAAAAAAAAATGCATGCGAACATTTGAAATTGTTGCCAATTTTTTTTTTTAAACACGTGACATGATTTTATAATAATAATAATAATAAATTTGAAATTTAAAACAACCTTAAATTGTTCTTCGCTGCAAATTAATACCCTGTGCGGCACGACACTGTCTTTGTTTAGAGGCACGTTATTGGAATCAATTACTGTGACTGAAAGAACTGGCGCTCTATGTTTTAACTGTATTTCTTTTCCTAACTGACTATGAACGTTTTCTTCTCTTCTCTTCTGACGAGGCGGCATCGATATCGTAAAGGCATACACGGTTCCATTATTGGTGCCAGCCCAAAATGTCGGACTGATATTTTGCACTGAAATAATTGTTTAATTAAAAATAAACGAGAGAATTAATAGCAGCTATATTTTACTTATTGTTGTCATCATCGAATTCTTACTTGAAATCAGGAATGTATTCGCTAAATGTACGCATCGTACGGTACCACCCATCGAATCGTCCACGGGTCTGGCTTCGATTTGTCTTTCGACAGGACGCGTTTCAATCGGACTCCCAATTGTGTGTCCTTTAATGGGTGATGCATGACCTCTTTTTTCTTCGCTACTACTGCCTTTTGTTGTGCGTCCCCTTCTCAAACGACGGAAAGATTCTCGCAATGATTTTTTTAATGACTTTCGTCGTGAAATGGGTCCCTCGCCTGCACTCGATAAGTCTGAAAGGTAATTAAGAAAAATCGAAAAAAAAAAATTTAGATTCAAACTTACAAAAAAAAAAATTATTATAAAACTTTGAACAAGTTTGCTGTACCATTCGAATTTAATGTGCATTTCGTCACGACCGGCTGCATTCTTATATAATCATAGAGTGCCAAACCGTGAGCGGTACCGACAGCAATTAAACCCAATTCAGTGGAACAGCACAATGCCGTTACGGATGCTGGTGGATGCAATTGCAAAATGGAAGAAACTTGCAAACTCGATGAATCCGTTGGAGGTTGTTTGGTTAACGTCAATGCCTCGTAACCTTTCCATACGAAATTGTCTCGGTCAGAAACAATGTTTACAGTTCTAACCTGCATGGAAAACAAACATATTTGAAAAAATTCTAAACTTTCAAATTCATAATAAAAAAAAAAAAAAAATACTCACGGGAATTTGAGAATCGACCGATACTTCTTCACCAAAAGTAGCAACGATGACATGACCTGCGGTACCGGCTACAACTAAGGTCCCAGATTTTGGACAAAGCCAAACTTTTTTCACAGCCAAACGCGGATCGTCGGAATATGGATCGAACGTTCCGATCTAAACCATAGAAAAAAAAAAAGTTATAGGTATTTCGTAACAATTTTTTACGCGATTTAAAACAACGTTAGTAAAACACTTTACTTTTTTGAATGGTGGCCATTCGTCTTCTTCTTCGTTAGGCGAAACTGGAAGATCACTTGTGAATAATGGAGCACTTGAAAACTTGTACAAAGACGCAAACGCAACGCCGGTACAATCCCAAAATCTAACAGTTCCATCTTCGTGTCCCGTTAATAACAATTCGCAAGTATCAGATTCCTCCACTTCTTGTAATACTCTTCCACCTAATGTGGGCCATTTCTAACCAAAAAAAAAAATATTTTTTAAATCAAAACTTGGTAAATAATTCGATTTTTATGTACAATACAAAAGATTATTACTCTATCGCTATAAAAATCTTGCATTTGACGCAAACCAGCTTCTTTCAAAGATTCATGTAACTGTTTAGGCACATTTGAAACGTGATAAGAGCAAGTAACCGCACTGGCGTGAAGTGATGCTAAATATGGTAATAATATCATTTTCATGTCTTCGTTATTAAGATCGACAGCAATTAATTCTTCTTCCGCCAAAACCAATAATATCCCTGGCTCACCTGGACACAATAATTCATAATTCAATAATCGATTAATAATTTTAAGTTAAAAATAAATGATTACCCATTAAATATTTTCCAATAAATGTCGGAATTCAATAATAAAATTTGCAAAAAAAAAAAAAAATTAAAAAGTTTTGAATTTAATTACTTGTCGTTTCGCTCTCCAAGTATATAAAGTCAATAACTTTTGATGTGAAATCTAATACTGCGTGAGTTTTACCATTACTTCCGTAAACCGTAACCGTATACTTTTCACTGTAACTAGCTCGAGGCATGCCACCCGAAAATATAATAAGATCTTCTCTGAAAACAATGAAAAGGTAAAAATAATATACGTTCTTACAATTAAAAAAAATAAAAAATAAAAAAAAACTTTTCGTAAAAAAGGTTATTTTGCAATGAATACCTTTCCGTTTCAACCCATAATAATTTCGTTATGGGTTTACACGGGAACGGTCCGTACAAAGTTGTGGGCTCTTCAACGGGTTTATCTTCGGATTCAACATCCCAAAATGCGTAACTGCCATCGTTGTGCGAGCTAGCAAATTTCGTTCCGTTGGAAAACCAACAGAGACATTCCAACTGTTGCGGATTCATAAAAATCTACAAAAAAAAAAATTAAAAGAGTCGAAATGCGTTTGTTTGATCATCGGAAAAACGACATCAATCAATCAATCAATCGATCTTTTAATTATTTACTTTTTTATTAGACGGATTTGAATTATCCCATAAAACGATGAGGCCTCTTGTGTAACCTATTAAAATGTGATTCGGATTTCCGGGTTGTTCTGCGATTGCTTCCACGGCTCCAGGATTTGTTATTTTATAAGAAGAAGGCAAACTAAAAATTATAAAAGTAAATAAATGAGGAATTGTCGATCTCTTCGGTCGATGAGAGATTACAACAACAACAACAAAAAATATGAAAGAATTTTTTACTTTTGCATAACAATATCAACGTAAATAATTGAATCCAACATTTGAAAAGTTTTTAAATTCAAAAAGTAAACGTTTCCTCCTTCCGTTCCCAAAAGTAATAACTCTTTTGATGAATCAATGCACATGGCGGATATCTTTTTAAGTTTTCCCTCGAAAACCTGAGATTTAACTTCGGCGAGACATCCATCGTTTATCTCCCACAAATGCAACGAATTGTTATCGCATAAAGTTATCAATCGACCCTAAATGAAAATCCACATAATAATTATTATTATTATTATTATAACCAAATCCAATTCGAAATAATAAATATTAAAATTTTCCTTTACCTGATTCGGTACAAAAAGTATTTTTATAACGGTTCCATCCGCGTGATGTTGACCGTAAAATTCAACCCCAGGTTTTCCAATACTAAATTATAAAATGTAAGAAATGTTTATGTATATATATATTATTATTATTATTATTTTACATATATTGGCAAAAATTTTATTTTGATATTTTCCAATAAAAAAAAAAAAAGAAAAAAACTTTTTTAAATTTCCAATCTAAAGAAATAAACTTTAATTTATTCATGTGTAATACGAAATCCGACATTTTTCCGATTCGTGTTATCGATAAGCAAACATTATTCCAAAAAAATAAATAAAAATTATTTTGTTTCGATTTTAATAATATACGAATTGTTTTTACCCGACATCTTTCTTTTTCTTTTTTTTTTATAAAAAAAAAAAAAATAGTTATTATTATTATTTTTTGGTTAAAAGGATACACTTTGAGAGTTCCATTTGTTGTAGATATTGCGAGTAATTTAAGCTCTGGGTCCCAAGCCAATGCTGTCGGTTTATTTGGAAAACCGTGATGTACAGTCTAAAAAAAAAAAACATTAAATATTATTATTATTATTATTATTATTATTATTACTAAGGTGATCGAAACGTGTATTTATCGATCGAATATGAAATAACTCAATAACGTTTAAGCCAAGATTACTACTTAACGTCGAAATCGATAACAATAAAAACATTTTTATTAATGATCAAAACGATTTAAGAGTTTTTCCTATAAAAGATTTATGAAAAAAATAATAATAATAATAAAAGCTATTAAATTTCAATCAATCAAATCTCATTGCAACAATTGCATTAATTAAACTTTTAAAAAAAAAAAAGAAAAAAGTTTTGTTATAGTTTTGTTTTCTATATAATAAATCTCACCTTTCGAAATGCAAAAAGTTCTTTTTGCAATTTTTGCCTATCAGCAGAAGGCTGCTGAGCCTTGCCTCTAATGAATTTTAACATTTTCGCCACCTGAAATTTAAAAAGGTTTAAAAATTCAATTACAAAACCTTATACATATATTTGTTAATGAACCTTTTTTGAACTGGTTATTCAAAAAAAAAAAAAAAAATGACTGTAAGAATATATGTGTGAATGTTTTAAAACACGTAAGTTTTTTTTTTTTTTTTTTAAAAAGAGACAGAGAGAGAGAGAAAGAGAGATAGAGAGAGAAAAGTTGTGGAAAAGAATTCTCATGAGATGTGTGACAAAATTGTTGTACTTATCAAATAAAAAATTTTCAACAAAAATTTAAAATGAAAAGAAATTTAAATCAGAAAATAATTCAAAAATCATGAAGGTGTATTCATCATTCATCATACAAACGAATCCTTAAAAGTTTCTTAATATTGTAAACATTTCAATTTAAATACATACATATATGTACATAACTAACAAAATATACTATAGAAAATCACAGTCATTAAAACTTCATGATAAAATGTTTATTTAATAATAATTTCTATTGCTCTTTCCTATGTAAGTTAAATACAAAAGTAATGTAATTAATAAGAAATTATAATGGAGAACAAAAAAAAAGAGAAAAACATTACAAACAAATCGTGTAAAATAATTAATGATAAATTTCCTATTTACAATTGTTCAATATTTGATTTTTATATTGATAATTAAATATTTATTAAAATAATTGAAATATTAATATACAAAATCAAAGGGGGAAAAAAATTTTAATTATTAATAAAATCATAATAATAATAATTTAAAATTCCTTTTTTTTTTTAAAATACAATTTTCAACATTACTTTCGATATTAATAGTTTTTTGTTTTTATCGAAACAAATTAAAATATGTAATTGAAAAAAAAGATGATAATTAAAATATAATCAATACAAAAAAAAATTTTTTAAATCAATTCAAAATCAATTTATAAAAATAATTAATGGGGTTTTGTTTCGAATAAAAATAATGTTTCATGTCGAATTATGTAATAGCAAATTAAAAACATACTTTTAAAATTAAATTTTAATATTATTAAATAGAATTATAATAATTATTATTAGAAATGAAATGAAAATATATATAAAATATTGTATATATATATATATAAGTTTAAAATAATTTAAAAATATAAACAATCAAAATATAAAAAATAACTATCGAGTTTGTTTTGTTTTTTTCCTCCTTCTTCTTCTTTTTTAATAACAAAAATCGAATGTAATAAAAACATGGCCTAAAATAATTATTTACAATTTTTTTTTTTTTTTTTTTTTTTTATTAAATAACATTTTTAGGCTTTATGAATAAAAATTCGAATAATGTTATGTTGTTTTCGAATAACAATTAAATTAATAAAACCTATTTATGTACAACATTGTATTTATATACATTTAAATGTTGTTGTAATACTTACAATTATAGAAAAAAATCAAATTAAATAACTATTAATAGAATTATTAATGATTAAATTGATTTAAATATATTAGAAAATTAACTATAATAAAAAACAATTTTCTCGATATCATTCAAAAACAATTTTTACAATTTTATTCGATTTGGAAAGTAAATAGAAAAACCTAAACATGAATTTCAATTCGAATAATGATGATGATGATGATTATTAAAATAAATAAAAAACATGTAATGAAATTTTTAATTTTTAAGAAAATGACTAATTAAAATAATGTAGAAAAATTATATAATAAAATGATTATGATTAATTTTTTTAAATGAAGTAAAACGTTACCAAGTAATTTTTTTGTTTTATTTAAAAAAAAAACATGATATGGGCGGTTATGTGTTTACAATAAACCAATGCCGAATATATAAGTTTACTAATCTGTCAAAATATTTTAATGCATTTTTTTTTTTTTAAATGATATAATTAAAGAACTAAAAAAAATGTTTTAAATTAAAATTAAAGTCAAAATAAAAGGGTCGCGTGTAATTCATACGAAAAATTAAATAGAAATGCGTCAGTTTATGAAAAATGAATAAATAAAATATCCACGTAAATACTTAATTGGGTGTATATATTTTTTTTTTTTTAAAAAAGAATAAACACCGGCTTTGAATCGATTAATTATAATAAATTATCCTTTTTATAATTAAATAATAATAAATTTAATAAATACCTAGTTAAACCATATGTATTTCCCAATAAAAAATCATTTAATTATTACAAAAAAAAAAAAAAAAAATAACAAAAATAAAAAAATGTAACTTTAAAAACGAATACACACACAATATGTACGCTACAAGGCAGCCATATTATTTTGCCTTATAATGTTAGAAATTCCTCCGCACGAATCTTTGTCAAATATTTTTTATAAAAATAAATTAAATCGTCATTTTTTATTGTTATGCACGACGAAAAATATTTATTTATTAAAAAAATAATTTTTTTAATATAAATAAAATGGTTTAAATGTATTTTTAAACGCGATAAAATGGTGACTATTTTTTGTACGTTGGGTCGTTGACATAAAAGAATAAAGAACGTTGGTGATGAGTCACATAGACAGTTCCTATAATGTTGTTTGGCTAAATATTATTGTCCATCTTTATTAAATTTTTTTTTTTTAAACTAGATCCTATAGATTATTGATAAATTTGATTAAATAAACATTTAATAAAAGAGTTTAATAAAAAAATATAATATTTATACATTCCTTTCACACGATTTACCGTTTTCTATTTAACATCCGGTAAATTTTCCCTGAACCTGAAATTTAAAATTTACAAATGACTAACACACACACACACACACTAGGTATAGAAAATTATTAAATAAAAATTTTTTTATTTGTGGTGGGTTGAATTCCAAGGCCAATAATGCAATTTTTTTCTTTCTTTCTTTTTATTATTTTACTATGAAACGAATTATATTATAAAATATTAAATTCAATATAAAAAATAATAATATTTTATTATAAATTCTCCTCTTACTTGAAAACCTTGACTCACTTAATATCTATAATAAAAAAAAAAAATGTCTTTTAATACATAAAGTTTTTTACACATCATCATCATTTCATTGATTTTAAATTATCATTTAAATACCTTCAAGACTTTTAACTGTTTTATCCAGATTTAACTGGACAAACAAACAAAAAATGTTGTAGGTAGAAACAAACCATCATCACCACCTTAAAACATACCTTGAAATATGTATTAATTTATCCATTGATTGAAAAAAATATCTTTTTTAAATGAATCAATTTAAAAAAATTTTTTTTCATGTCCTTTTCCTGTTACATTTTACCGCCATATTGGGAAAAGTTAATTTTTTTTTTTTTTTTTCGTTCCACTATTATTTTAATTCGTTTTTAAAGAAAGAAAGAAAAAAAAAATTATAAAAACTAAATTAAAATTCTTTTCAGATTTGTAATTCTAAGCATCGTTATTATTATTATTATTATTATTATTAATACCTGAGAGTATTAGTTGTAGTTTATGAAACTTTCTCGTCATTACAATTTAACGACGTTCAATATATATTTTTGTAATTTATATTCTCGTTAAAAATTGTATTATTAATCTTCCATCTTAAAACTTTTTTTTTTTTTGATATATTGTTTCGTTTTAAAACTGTTTTAAAATATTTAAATTTTATCAATGATTATTATTATTATTATTAAAACGCGACGTTTAAAAAATAAAAATTTAAATTTTCAACACCTTTTTAAATTTTTATTTATTTTAAATTGTTTGTTAAAAAAGGTTATGAAAGGTGAAAAAAACAACCGCGATAAATCTATCTCTCTCTCACTCACTCTGTGTGATTTACTTTTACACGACGACAATTTTAATAATAATAATTATTATTATTATTATTATTATTATTTCGATAATTTAATTCCAAAGCTTTGTGGTGATGGTGATGGTGTTGGTCCATTTTCACGATGAGACACATATTTTAAAAGGATTACGTTATCCATTTTAACAAAAATTTTATAAAAATAAATAAAACTAAACAGGGCCGTAGTCGGTACGACAAAAAAAATTTTCCATTTTAAAATTTATTAAAAGAGTAATAATTAAAATAAAAAACAAAGTCAATTTTTTTATCACGATTGTATTACTTTTTTTTTTTTAAGAAAAAGAAACGTATTGTTGATGAAAAAAAAAAAATTTTTAAAGGTCATTGGTCCTTATTACTATTTTTTCTCCTTGTTGGCGTAACATTATTATTATTGTTGTTGTTGTTGTTTTTGTTCTCCTCCATCCTGGAAGAATAATAATAATACAAACAATTTACAAAATTGTGTAAATTTTTTTTTTAACTTACTAAAAATTCATTTACGCAACGAAACGAATACATTTTCGTACGAATGCGTTAAATATATTTTCAATGTTTATTATTATTATTATTTTCGTAGGTATTTGATCCATTTTCCTATTATTATTATTACTTAACGAAATACTTATTGGAAAATGGATTCCATTTTGTTTCCGGATTAACATTCGAAGATTTCAACACCGCCGACTGGTAAAAAAAAAAATTTTTTTTATCACCTTATCAAAATCTTATACGTGGGGGGAGGGGGGTAATTTTAAACATAATCTAATTAAATAATAATAATAATAATAAAATCGATATTAATCATATGAATTTGATCGTCACTTTAATAATTAACTACATTAACATACGTGTAATCATTATTTAAATTATTAAAATCATTTTCTGTGTAATTAATAATTAGAAAAAATTTTCTTTTTAAAAAAACAATTTCGCTCGTGCTTTTATTACGAGCGTGAACGTTTTCTTAAAAAAAAAAAAAGTTAAAATTAAAATTAAAAAACGAAATTTCGTACGTTATAATTACGTTTAAAAATAATAATAATTATTATTATTAGTAAGGCAAGGTTTTTTTTTATTTATTAAAAAATTGAGTTTTCATTAATAATAATAATAATAATTTATAGGAGTCATTAATTAATTTAAAATCATCAAAGTCGTAAAAAAAAATTTTAAAAAAAAAATTAGTTTTGGTAATTTATTCTCGAATAAAATTTAGTATAATGTCTTCTTCTTTTTTTTTCGGCCATTCAAAATTTTATTTTTATGTTCTGCCATAAATTTTTTCGTTCGTTCGTTATTATTATTATCATTTCACACATTTTTTTGGGCGGATTACGTAACGTTTCTTTCGGTTTTATTTTTTTTTTTGTATAATAAAAATTTTTTTTACGATCAAATCGTTTCTTGTTTGTCACACTCGAATTAAATTTTGATTGAAACAACATCTTTAGAGATGAATTAAGATGATGTTTTCGTGTATTTTTTTTTTATCACCATTTTTAAATCGTTTTAAATTATCTATAATGTTTATTATTATTATTATTAATATTATGTATTTTTTAACACGTTTAAAACTTTAAATAAATAAATAAATAAAAAAAAAACAAAATTAATGTTACCTATTTTCCTATATTGATTTATGTATCCTTTTCGTTTTTCGAATAAGAACGCGAATATTAATAAAAAAAGAAGACATTAATTATTATCATTATTATCATTATTTATTTATTTACATTAATTTTTTTTTGCGTGAAACAAACAAAAGATAAATAAATAAATCACGAGAATTTTTTTTTTTACTTATTTTATTTTATTGGTTTAAACCTCCCTCCGATCATCATCCCACGACCGCCATTTTCGTTAAGGTTTTTCCGCGTAAAAAATTTTTCTTAATTAAAAATTATCATTATCATTATTATTATTATCATCATCAATAAGAGATACGGCCGTTTTATTCGGTTGCTGCTCTTTTTGATTTTAATTTAAAAGTTTTTAAATGGAATAACCGATAATGGTTATAAAACGAAAGGAGAATTTT